GGCCCTCGGGGTGTGCGGAGGGCCGCCCGGGGCTCGGGGCCTGCGGTACAAAATCAGCCCTTAAAGAAATGCAAAGGGGGGGTCGCTGCAGGCCCTTCCGGGCCACCGCACCCCCTCCAGGAGTGCTCCGGGTTGGGGCGGCTCAATCACCCCTTCCCCAGACGAGGCAGCCTGTGCAGACACCTGGAGGCGGGAGTCGAGGTGTTCCCGGGACCCGCTGTCACTGCGCCGTCCGCAGCGCAGAGGCGGCGAGCTGAGCCTTGTGCCCAGGGCGGTCACGGGGTGCGGCAGGGCAGTGAGGGGGCATGTGGATGGTTCAGCTGCTTCCCCAGCTTCCTCCCAGGGCGCAGGGCCCCCAGCTCTGCCCCGGCCTGCCGCCTTTCCCGCCTCCCCTTCCCCCTCCACCACCATCTCCCCTTCCCCCTCGCACACCTGCACCCGAGCCTGCCCACCCCCCTCGGCTGCACGTCAACGTTGCCGTCGCAGACCCACTCCTGCCAGCCTGTGGTGGTGGGCGGCGACGCACGGCGCATGCCCAGCCTGCCCGGCCAGAGATGCAGTAATTGGCACCTGTCAGACGGCTGCAGCTCATTTTAGAAAGTCAGTGGAGGGGGGCCTTGACAGTCCCGCTGCTGGCAGGCGCTGCGGACCCTCCCTCCAGAGGCTGCTGGTCTCAGTGCTAGTCTCTGCCCCAGTCCTCTCTCCGCAGGACTTCCCACAGCTCAGCCCCTAGGGTCACCCCTCCCCTCATACCAAGAAGGGGGTGGTGCCCCTCCCCCAGGTGGGGCCGGGGCCTGCTCAGTGCTGCCAAAGGAACTCCATGCTAGGGATGGGCAGGGTCCAGAGGCAGTAGGTCCCAGAGCGCCTGGGCAGGTCCACCAAGGCCTCCCCAGTGACTGCCCAAGGCACGCTCTGCAGGCAGAGGTCTGCAGCCTGCCCCTCGCTGACTTGGAGGTCCACCTCCTTCGCTGATAATTGTTTTCAAGGATGTGGGGAAGGGGTCAGTTTGGTTTTGGTTTTGGAATTTGGGTTTTGCAAATGTGGGGATGGTAGGTGGGGTGAGCAGGGGCAGGTGGGAGTCACGGGCCTCCCGAGTGAGGGGACCATACCCTGTGTCTCCATCTCTCTCTCTGTCTGATTCTGAGATGCCCCCACCACCTAGACCCCGGCCCTCCCCTGCCTGCAGGCCTCTCTGTCCCCACTCCAGCATTGCCAGCCCTGACGCTGCCATGGGGGGGTCCCTTTCTGCAGGACGACCCTGAGGTTGAGGGTGTGGAAAGGGGGTCCAAGGTCAGCACTCTGAAGCTGGACTTCGTTGAGGACCCCAACTTCAAGAACAAGGTCAACTACTCGCACACAGCAGTGCAGATCCCCACGGATATCTACAAAGGCTGTGAGTCCGGCGAGATGGGAACAGCTGTCCCCGCACACCGTGAGGCCATGACCCACTGCCCTCCAGGTCCCCAGCGCCTGGCTGGTACCACCCACCGCCAGCCCCCTACACCCAAGGTCACACGAGCTCGCCTCTCAGACTCACCCATACGCAGGCAGCAAGCAACTCACAGTAGATAGAAAACCTTGAGCCTCCCGCCCTGCGCACGGTCTCCGGTGTGTGCACATGCGCCTGCATGAATGCACGTACACAATTGCTCCCGCACACGCTGGACCATCCCCTCCCGTCCCCAAAGCAGCTCCCGCACCCCCTCTCATTCCCTGGCCCCATGTAAGAATGATGGAGGAGCTACCACATCAGATGGATCTTGGAGCTGCTACTCACGCACACCAGCCCTGTGACACTTCCCTCCTCCTTGGCATGGGGGGCAAAGTAAGGGGAGGGAGATTGGGTAGAGGGTGGCTGAGATTCCTAGCTCCAGGGCGGGCGGTTTTGCACAATAAGGAAACCAGGTCACTACAGCTAGAAGGATTTCAGGCAGACATGAGGAGGAACTTACCGAAGGTCTTGGGATGTGTTGAGGGAGGAGGCCAAGAGTTGAACGCTATATGGAGAGCTCTAGCAGCAGGATCTAAGGCTTGGGGGGTCTCTTGGTTCTGATGTAATTCTGTGGTCACCTACAGGGTGGCCTCAGAATCCAGGGTGCCCACTGGGTGGAGGGTCTTGGGACAAAGATAGTCTCCAGGATGCAGGGAATCCTCCAGGTTCCTCAGGGAGGCTCCCTCCACCCTTCGGGTCAGCAGGCCTTATGGGCAGCCTGAGGC